GAAGGTTTTGTAACACCATTCTGAAGGCAGGTTATTAGTGTAATCTACACATCAGTCAGCGTATACTCTGGATTTACTCCCATGTGCCTAAAAGCAGAATCTGACCACTGCTTATTCCATGTCTAAAGGGAACAATAAAAAAAAAAAATCTGAGACTGGATCCTTTCTCATTTTTGTCAGAGTATATAGCGGGGGGAAAAAGGTTGAAAGACCTCTCGGACAGTATTGTTCTACCGCAGCAAAAGGAACAGGATAAACAAAATCCACTTGGATAGACTTCATTCATGCATTAGGACAATATATATATCCAGTCTTCACTGTAAGGCTGAGATTTTTATTTTGGTATCAAACCCCCACATCTCCAGTTTAAGGATTAGGCACTGTCCAGATGAATGTCTGTTTTACCTCTGCTTTAAAAGAGGTCATGATTTCACCCTGTTTGGCACTATCCACATCAGTAAAAATGCATCCTTAGAACCCAGTCCTGCACCTGCTCCAGGGAGAATTTTGCCTGTATGAGGACAGCAAAGCATAACCTACACAGTGACTCCTTTTGAATCACTTCTGCCTGTACATGAGGCTGGATCCTGCTCCCACAGAACTTCCATTAGCTTCACCAGGGGCATGAACGTGACAAATAGTCATAACACATTTGTAATCCGCAGGACTTACTCCTACAACAAAGCTCAGTTAAGGGTCTGCTGAAAATCCAGGGCACAGAGATTTCACAATTGAGTGAAAGACATTTCAGCTCGGACATACCTTTCAAATCCTGCTGCATGTTTCCTCCTTTCTGGGAAAGTCGCTGGGAAGGGAGTCACTTTCTTCTCCATTGCCCTTGGAACTTTAATGAGTATTGCTTTGGTTTATTTCAAAAGAAGCAATGAAAAGCAAACAAAGTGTCTCACAAGACACTACAGAGAGAAAAAAAATGGTCGACACAGGAAAAACTGCTGTGAATTAAAATTTAAAAATGGAAAGAAAAGTATAGGTGAGGTATTTTTCCATATAATTTCTTCTCTGCTCCTCCATCTGTTTTGTCTTTGAAGTCTACGCCTTGCCATTCATATTCCATCCCTATGCTTGGAAATTGCTGTCCGTGAATTGAAAGGTGAAGGAAAAGGAAAAAAAAAAAAATAGAACGGAGTGAGGAAGACATGAAGGGGTGCAGAGAGGAAGAGATCTACTGAGTGTAAAGGTGTCCAAAGGAGGGATGAAAGTGTGTTCCCCAAGGTCATGGTCTTCAGTGGTGCTGCTTGTATTTTCAGGCTGTTAAACATAGCAGGTGTACAGGAAGAGCCAAACTCCACGTGCTACAGTGAGTGCAAAATCCCAAAACGCAGAAGGGTTTCCTTGTCCTCCAATATGAGTCCACCCACAGTGGTTCTCTAGAAACAGTTCTATTATCAAGTAGACATCCATTGCTTTTTTGTGGTTTTTTTTCTAGTTTTATTTAAAAAGTATTTTTTCTAATAATATATAGAATATATAAATAATAATAATTAAAAAAAACTATTTGGGTTTGCTTTCTGCTTTCCAACCCATCTGTATTTTTCGTGGTTTGCTGATATATATATTAAAAGACAAGAAAATCAACTCTGCTCACTATTAAAAAAAAATTAAATCCATGTTTTATGTTTCCAGAGAGAAAGAGAAGGGGGAGAGGTGGGAGAAAAAACAAATTAAAATGAAAAAAGTAACAGGAAAATCAAAACCTTCTGTCTCTTCAAAGTAGTTGTCACGAGCTTTAAACACTTGTGCTTTCAGTGTACACCCCACAGGAAAAACAACAACAAAAAAAACCCCAAAAACCCAAAGACCTAAAATTTTTTTTAAAAAAGAAAAAGGTAATAATAATCCTAGTAGTAAAAAGGACAGCGAATCGCTCAGAGTTTTTTATGTCTTTTTAGTTATTTTAGCAGCCACCCTTTTTGTCTGCAGAGGGAGAGCTGCCACCACAGCCACCTCCTCGGCTCGAGAGAGGCTCTTCTGCATCGTCCTCGTCAAAGCCATGAAAGGTCGAGGTGTCGCTTTCTGACGTGGAACCGAACAAGTCCTCCGTAGTGCGTGCTGGCGCTGCTTCGTCCCTCCTGCCTTCTCTTCCCAAATGAGCTGACATGTATGATGAATATATCAGCACATGGGTTAAGCAACAGGCATCATCATCATAATTTTTTTTTAATCAGCATTATCATTAAACAATTCAGACTAGCAAGCTTATAGGTGTGTGCTCGTATGTGCCCGCGCACTTCAACAACATAGCTCGGTAGAACTGCAGTGAGAAAAATAAATAAGGATCAGTTTCTCTTTCAAAGTGAAAAAAAAAATCTACAAACAACACAGGTGCCCATATATATGGCAGCGAAAGGGTTAATCATGTTTTCCTCTCTTCAAAAGACATTAAAATACTTCCTTGTGATTAATTAGATCAATTTTAAAAGATTTTTAGACCGTATAAGTAATTAGACACCATTAGCTCTAAGCACAATGACTGTACTTCAGACTGGCATCAACTGTCACAAATTTACTGCTAGAGAAGCGTAATCCAATAGATATCTTATCAACCTCAGGACTACTTTTTATCCCTGTCCTTCACCTGATCCTAAAGAGTCTCCTCTGAAGACACAATACTTTTCGAAGACTAAGCAAAAGTCACCTAAACAAATGCTTTTATTCCAATTTCATGGCATCTCCTTCAAAAATAAAATAGTAATAATAATAATAACAATAATAAAAAACCCAAATATATACAGTTCAACAACTAAAACAACTAAGATGAGGAGTGACCTGTCTTGAGGAACACTGAAAAGTTGACATGTGTGTGAGTCAATCCAGCTTTCACTATGGAACAGGAAATTCTCCACACAGGACATCTATAGTGGCAACAACAACAACAACAACAACAAAAAGAAGACTCTTGAAAAGAGAAGTAAAATACTGAAGTCTGTGAAACTGAGGTTTGTCTTCTCCCTCAGTCAAGTATGTTACGTGATTACTAGTATAGCCTTCAAATTTCTTCTTCAGGAAAGGTAGAGACAAAGATGCCTCTTCTGCCCCAGCAAAATGAAAGTGTGAGATTTTTAGGGAACAGCTATTTCATTACTCAGAAACAGTAGCATGGTACTAAGTAACCAACTGTTTGATTCCTGCTTCAGCTACAGGAATCAGCCATATAACAAGTACACTGCATTGCTTGAGACACGGAGAATTAAACCCTGTTCACAAAACGAAAATGGGTATAACAAAATAATTGGCAGATGAACCACCTCATAGAGATGCAATTTTACTGGGTTTCTGAATGGAAGAAACAATGTAATTTCCACATCCTCTCTTTCAGTATAATGAAAATGTTCTCCATTATCAAGAAAGAGAAAGATGGCAGCCACCACAGAGGTTTCATTGCTTTAATTTAGAGATTAGTGTGTGGTTGTACCTTAATTGCTTTCATCACACATCAGTCACAGCATTGCAGACCCCTCTGAACAACTCAGGTGGGTCAGAATTTGTACAAGGATAGCATTTAATGGAACTGATTTTGCACAATTCAGGCTACATGGTAATCTACTTGTTCTGTCACACTAAGGAATCAATGGAATTAATGTATTTGTGTTACATTCTGACATAATCACCACAGCAATGTTTAAATAGCAAAAAAATACGGATCCGTCTCACTGGGCCGTGTCAGGACAATGCTGAAATGAGTTGTATTGAACTATAACAACCAAGGGGAAGGGCAATCATCTTCCAAGATGGCACCACAGACCCCATGAGCTCCCCCCTTCAGTTACTAAGAAGCAAACACGTGTCCACTAGAAAGTCCGTGTCCCTGACTGCACAGCATTTGTAAGGATGCCCCTGGAGAAATCCAAAGGGGTTGCCATTGGTCCACTGGTGACCAGTCAGTATCACTCCAGAATATCTTCAGAGGTCACAACAACTGCAGAAGGCAATTTCTCAGCGAGAGCCTAGTCCTGCTCCCACTGAATGTGGTCAGAGGCTTACTACAAATTTCAGCAGGGGCAGAAAAAGGGCATTCCCTTGTCATGAGAACCCTCCACAGCACATTGCAGCCATCACGCAACAGACATCCTTCCATGACTACAGTACAGAAGAAGCAGCAGCAATTCTGAATTTCAAGTCTCTTTGGTTTTCAGATTTCCATAGGATGGTCTTATCACCACTAGTATCACCACTGTCCAGAAATATCACAACTGGAACCTTGGACCAAAGCTGTAATATGCAGTTTTTAAAGGTCTCCCGTTCCCTTTACCACCGCGACCACCTCCTACATGAGCTATATATAACTGCTCAGCCGGGATAAAATTTCCCAGGAAAAAGAAAAGAAAAAAAAAAAAGAAAGAAAGAAAGGAAAGAAGAAAACAACAGTCCAGAAATAAAGATAACTCAGAATGGGAAAGACACAATTGCCTACATTGAAAAAGAGAGAAGGGAAGAAAACGGAGAAATAAAAACCTCTTTAAACAAAATTAATGATAGTCATCTTGTAAGAGGATAATTCTTGACAGCTACCCCCATCCCTACCCTGTAATTTCCTCCCTCTTTCTTTTTTGGATGAAGAAATGCATGAAATGTGTAATCAATGGAAATGCTTGTCATGCAACTTTCATAAATCTTGTAAGTAATTTATAGTTGTAATTGCAGCATCTGAAGACAGAGATCATTCTTTAACATTGTCATAGGATTTTCTCCTTCCATTTGAAGAACAACTAATACATGTACCAACGTTCACAGAAGCCAATAAATACATTAAAACTTTATTATTTCGTAAGACCCAATTAGCTTAAAAATGTGAATCCAACAATGGGTTTTATGACAGAAAATTTCTCAGTCACCCTTTCCCACAAACACAGACAAGAGGCAGGACTTCGTCTTCTATCCCCTCCCAAACGCGCTGCCTTTCTTCAAAATCTTCAGAAGGAGCAAAAAACAAATCACACAAATGCCTTTGTACAAGATAGATGCAAGAAGAAATCACCTACCAGAGCGCCCACAGTCTGAGCATGATACAAGTTCCTCAGGTCGGCCACTTTTTTTGTTCATATTGGAGCCTCCGAGGCAGAAGTCACAGTAGTTATTGGGAATGATGACGCCGTCTGGTCCTTTCTGGGCTGCAGTCGGGTTAGAAATCAGATTTACTTAAAGAGCATTCAGTTTGGACACTTCCCCCTTCTCCTCGATACGATGTTAACTCGGTGAGTTTGGAGGCTGTGGCCTTCCCAAAATACCGTCAGTCAGAACGAAAAATGAAATGCATAAGTCACCTCCATTTGGAGTACAGCCTGTGTTCTACCTGCTTTGCCTGAAATGTGCTTCACCGTTTCCTCTGCAGTGCCAGCCGGGCTGGTCCCTCACAAGGACCTGCCAGAAATCCCCGCATGTTTCAGGGACTTCGTAACACGCACAGGCATGAAAACAATCCCTAATGCAGAATCTGACCTACTGCTGTCAGTAAGCTAAGCCTGGGGTTTCAGATGGCAGTCATAATCGTAAACCCACAAAATACAAATTCAGACAGGAAAAAATAAGTTTCCCAAAACTCCAAACCCACCAGCAGGGAGATGGGTGTAATAGGTGCCCTAACTGGTTTTATTTCAAGTAGCTTTTTGGGGGCATTACATCTCAAAGTGGCCAGGTTGTCCTTACTCAAGAAGTTGGTTCACATGCCCGTGAATATTCACAGGCAAAGCCCTTTGTGGTTGCTTCCCGCAAGGGTTAGGCTGCCTGCAGCAGCAGAGTGTGTGTCCCCTGGAGGAGCGGGGAGGGCAGCAGGTCCACCACTACCCCAGCACAGGCACAAGGAGTCAGCAGATGGCCCAGCCAGCAGAGACTCTTTCAGCCAAGAAAAAAGGAAGGAAATTACATTCTTATTTTCCAGCTAGGAATAGTTGGAAAGGAGCAGACACACACTGGGTCTTACGTAGAGGAAGAGGCAGTTCCTCTAGAAAGGAGAGGAGGGCAGAGGTCTCCTGCATTCCTCTCAGTTGAGCAGAAGAGCAATGTGCTTTTTTTTCTCACTCACAACTGCCATTTTCCTCCTCTGCTCTCCAGAGAGGGAAAACTTCTTGTTCTCGTACACTCTAACTAGGAACTGGGGAAGCGAAAGGGGAGCGGAGGGAATAGTTGTTCTTCATCTCTGTTTCTCCTTTTTCAATTTGAAAATTCCAGTAGCATACCTGGCCTAAGCCTACCTCATGAAGATTTCTACAAACGAGAAAATGAAAACCTTTACACTGTACCATCTATATTTAATTATCTTTTTAATGCATGTTTTGTAACTTGCAGATTTTTAACAGATGTTTTGACAGCCTGTATTAATGGTCTTTTTGTCCACATCCAAATTCCCCCCAAAGAACAATGACATTCTAAAGGGCTTCTGGTAGGAGTCCAAGACATACACTTAAAATTAAAGTTTCCTCTGAGTTCAGTCTGCTTTGCTAGTTTGGGTGCACCTACTTATTCACTTACTTCCAGCTGCTGATGAGCTGAGCTTTTTGGAGATTGGTAACTGAAAGATTGCAGGTAAAGGGAAATGAAGAAAAAAATTCAAACTCGTAAGGCTGCAAATACATCGATATCTTCTTGCATGGCCGCTGAGTCCCTGACAGTATTTACTAAACAATGGACTTTGCTCTGAAGTGGTTCTGGTGAGCAGATCCCCAGTTCTATCAAAACCAGAGAGAAGCTCCCAGTGTTAGGTTAGCATTTTGCCCATTTGCAGAGAGGTATTTAATATGTGCATGCAAGATAACAAAAAAAAAAAAAGAACAGGAACCAGGAGAAAGCCTAGCGCACCGACTCATTTTAAGAGCTGTAACAAAATGATCATAAAGTTGCTACTTGCACGTATTTTGCGTATAAAAAGCAGATCTCCCTAGCATTTCTTTTTCCCACTACGGCCCCATTCTGAAAAAGGTAAGTAATTACTTCTTTGTATTGTGCTGCATCTACAGAGAGGCCATATGCAATGCGAACTCAGCATTCAGTGGGGTGGGTGTTTTTGTTTCTTATTACATTCAGCTTTCATCTGAGTTTCTTAAAATGCTCTACAGATACTGAGATCCTAAAAAGATACTAAGATCCTAGTATTAACCTCCAGTGAGGTCAAAAGCCTCTTTTGCCATTGACTCTAACCGAAGTGTTGCTGGGCCCTAATTAAGTCTCGTGGTGAGGAGGCCACATTGTATTTTTACAGCTGAAAGACTTGGAGGTAGAGCAACGAACTGGCTTACTCACAAATACACAACAACTCTCTGGTGAGGCCACAAACAAAAAACAAGCATTCAAGGTGCCAGCCAGCAGATTTAGGAAAGAGCTCCACTTCTACCACCTCAGAATAGTGTAATTGATTTAATACTCTGTGTATACTGACCTAAACGTTTCCAAGACAGCTTATCAACCTAAGATCCACTCCATGTCAAACTGGAAATGGGAGAGGGAACCTTGTGAAAATTCATATACTGATCAATTTGTCTGCGGTGTGTGGGACAGGCGGAGGGTATTCGCTGCCCGCAATGAAGCTGAAGGGATTCTCCTAGACGACTGGTAAGGGAATAAGCATGGGTTTTGATCACTTCCTTTTCTTCTTTTTTTCTTCCAATTTAATTTAATTTTTCATGTGAGTGCCTATGGGCACAAGCCTTTACTGCTTGTCATTCAGAAATATGGACCTGGCTCAGTTGAGTGTGATAAGAGATATCTGGCCTGAAAAGTCATACACAGATGAGAAATTCTTAAAGTTACATCAATGATGTCTGAAATGACACATCTCTAGAGCCAAATAAGGCAGGCAATGATATTCTCTTCAATGGTTCTTTGTTCTAACAGGTGCAAAAACTAGAATCAAACCCTACTCAAGCTTATTTTCTTGATCAGTACTGTAGAGTGAATTAAGCCCCAGGCTAAATCACAGAAGGCTTCAGAATAAAGAGATTTCCAGATGATATTAAGCAGAGTCCTTACTTTGAAAGGATTTTTTGTGTGTGTGTGTCTGTCCTTGGAGTTTTCAACTCTATTTTACTATAGCTCAAAAATGATGAGGGAATTAAGAAACAAAGCAAAGATAGCAAGATATAACGTGCAATATTAATGCAAAAGGCATCATGCACCCAAAGCCCAGCCCTAATCCCATCCCTTTATCAATAAAATTACTTACAAACGTAAGTATGGGAACAGATTCACAAGTGAAAGCAATTAAATTACCAGGGATGGATGTGTTGCTGCTTTTCATCTGAGACATAGTAATTAACCAGGTGCCCACTTTTTGCACACGTTAATCACAACATAGAAAGTGCTAGCTTAAACCAGATGATAGTTCAGCTAATGAGAAATAACTCACTAGCAGTCAGTGCAATCATTTGGATCGGGTGACTACAACCAAGGATTTTGTCTGAAAGATGTTCACCCAGAACCAGAAACTGTTTTAAAGCAAAGCTTTGGAAACTAACCACGGTCTTGTTGTTAAGTTACTCACAAGTTCAATTTTCTTTTACGTTACAAACCTCAACAAGGGATCAAAAGCTCTGCGGAGCTTTGGGGAGTACTGCCTGAGCCAAGGTGTGCTCAGAGCAGGTCGACTAGAGTCAGTGCCTCTTGCCTTTTCCACCCCAGGTCGCTTTCTAGGTTCATCACAGACCCTGTCTTCATCTACATCTGCCCCAAAATAAACTGGGTATACAATATTTTAAAATACTTTTAAAAACGGATTAAGGAGAAAGACAAAAAGATCTGCACGGTTCAAACAACGGTTTCTCTGTACCTGAAAGCTGATTCATGTGAAGACGGGATGCAAACTGAGAACGAAGTCAATATTTTCACATAATTTTGGTATGTGCTTATTCTGAAATATTTTTCTCTTCCTAGCCTAATCAAGTTAATTACAAACTGCACCAAGCTAAGCAGAATAAAGACCTACTTAAAATATGATCCCATCATTCACAGGAGTCTTCTTGCAAAATAAGTACTGTAAATTAAACAAATTCTGTAGTGTATCACACACTAACTTTATTCTCTAGAAAAAACTTTAAAAGCTAAACAAATTGACTGAGTTTACATAATGAAAGCAACTTCTGTACCTTCCTGATTTTGAAGGCACAGGCTCTAAACAGAGTTCTAGCTTCCCTTCTCCCCTCTCCAAGTAATGAAAAATCTTGAAAGTTATCTTCCTCATGATTTCAGTTTAATAGCAAAAGAAATCTCCTTCTAGAGAAATAACATAAAGAAATCAGGATTTTTCTTTTCTACATCATCATCTCTTGGAGCCATAAGGCACAATAAGAATCTTAGTTTTCTAACTCTCATGGCTGCAGAGTATCTTGAATGGAAAGCAAGTTAAGAAAAAGCAATTCTTGCCCCTGCTTCTCAATCAGAAAACTCAGTATACAGGTATTTTAAATAGCTTTCATTCAAAATGAGACCCTTAAACACCCACAGACAAAATGCCAAATAAATAGAACCTTGTAGTTTTTCAGTTTTCTGATTTCTGAGTATGGTTAATTTGATGATTTAGATCATGATATTTCAAAACTTGGAACTGGAACTAGCTCTTAAAAGAAAAACTGGCTTCTCTGTTCCTTGGTACCAAATCACAGTCACATCTATTTCTGTATGTAACACAGCAAAATACCTAACCATACCTTAAGCTGTGCCTCTAGGTTGGGTGGCATTTTATCCCTATTTTTTATCATATCCACAGGACTGGAAAGACAGTGGAGAATGAGGAATAGAGTGCATGTCTTGCCGTCAGGGTGGGGGCCTGTGCATCATTTATTTAAATGATCACAGTGAATTGGCTGCAATTGGATATATACGCACTCCCAAAGGGATTTTCCCTAGCACATTTTGTCCAGCTCTTACCTGTTTCTTCTGGGCCTGATCCAAAGCCAATAAAGTCCACTGGTGGATTTCAATTCAATTTGAAAGCCTTTGAATCAGGCCATTTACTCTGTTTGCAACAAAAATTGGCAGAGCACAACGGAGACCTGAGGAACCTGCATCAAGGCTTGAATCAAGTCAGTGCACTCTGCAATGGAGGAAAAGGGGTGGATTTGGGTTTTTTTGGCGTTGTTTTTGTTTGTTTCTGTTTTCCTTTTTAAACTTACCAGACCCTTTG